GCCAGACAGAGAGAGACAGAGAGACAGAAAGCGAGAAATCACACCCCGGGGGAATGGCCATGCCGCAATCCCTTCTCCTCCATTCTCCTCTTGGGATCTTGGGCACGCACGCACACGCACCTGGCACCGGGTCCAGGACTTGAACCGCGGTCGACTACGTGAGAGTCCAGCGACATAGCCATTTCGCTAACTGCTGGTCCCCCCAATAACTTTTTTTAATTAATTTTTTTTTTAATTTAAGCAACAGGGCTGACAGGTGGCATGGTGGCTCAAGTGCTGGACTCCCACATGGCCAACTGTGGTCCAAGTCCCAGACCTGGTGGCTCGCTTTCTCACTTTCCTTCTCTCACTTCTAGTCAAATTGAAGAAGAGTAATAAATATATTAAATTAAGTAAATGATCATTTTTAAAAATAACTTTAGCAATGCTATATTTTGGACAATATTTATGTCAATCTTGCTGGTTATGTTTTCCTCCAAAATCTAATTAGTAACTAAAATGTAAATTAATCTGATGAGAGACTGAATTTTACTGTCAGCCTTTTTATTCTTGTGGCTGTTTTCTTTACACGTGGCTCCCACACGGGCTGGGTTTCAGTCTCTGCCTAAGAGGCCATGAGGTGACCGTCCTGCCTGTGTTTCATCTGGGCTGGGGGAGGGAGCACACCTGAGTGCTGGCTTTTCCTGCCTTTGGGGCCCCTCCGCCCTTGCTGGTTTTTTTATTGCTGCTGTTTTTGCTGTAGGGCACATGCACTCCACAGGGAGGGAAAGCGGCAAGTCTGCTCCCAGCGGGATGGCCACAGTACAGTCCCTTCTCCTCTTCTCAGGGCTTTAGGCACACAAATGCCCAGAGTGATTTTCAAGCCAGGACTTGAACTGCAGGCAGCCTTGTGGGAGTCCAGTGCCTTAACCACCACGCCATCTGCTGGTCCCACCCCTGGTATTTTTTTTTTAAGAGTTATTTTGCCTAATTTTCTTGCTATTTTTTAAAATTTGACCTGAGAGAGAGAGGGAAAGTGAGAAAGCAAGCCGCCAGGTCTGGGACTCCAACTGCAGTCGGCCATGTGGGAGTCCAGAGCCCGAACCACCATGTACTGACGTCCCCCGTTGGTACCTTTTTAAGCACGTTGCTATCCCCAGAGAGTGAAACATATCATAAAACACCTGATTCCTCTCCGAATGTATTAATAGGAGCACTTTTTTTATTTCCAAATTTCACTTTGTGGTTAATTATGAGTGGTCCTTCCCCAGACTGACTCAAGTCCCTTGCCCAGAGACAGCAAGGTCGTATCTACAGATAAGTGCAACGCCGTAGCCACATTAGGCTTCCGGTAACTGCTCCATTTATAAGTGAGTTTTTAAAACTTTTCACAATTTAAAAAAATAATAGCTTTATGGAAGTGTTTTCTGCATACCATTCAGTTCATTCACGTAAACTGTACAAGTCAGTGGTCTTCAGGGTCCGTTTAGAACATTTCTCGTCACAGAGCAATCCTGGTACCCCTGACTCCCCCCATCGCTCCCGCCACCCCCAGCCCTGGGGAATGCTAGCCTGCTTTCTCTCTAGAGGTCGCTCTCCTGGATATTTTATGTAGATAGCATCCTACAATACGCGGCCTTCGTCCTGGCCTCTTCATGTACAGTAATGTCTTGCAGGCTCTCCCGTCCTATCAGAACCTCGTTTCTATTGTCAAATAATCTCCCGTCCCGTCCCCTGTATGCTCAGTGCGTATCTATCTAGCCATCAGCTAGTGGGCACTAGGCTGCCCCACCCCCGGCCGTCGTGAACGGTGCCGCTGTAGCAGGGCGGCCAGGCACGGTCCCCGCTTTCAGTGCCTGTGGGCTCCTGCCCATGGGTGGAAACGCCGGGCCATGACTTCAGAAAGTCGGCGAAAATGAAATGATGAGTTTATGGGCCAGCCCCATAGCCTAGTGGTTAAGGAAGCCAGATACCATATGCCAACCACGGTGCAAGTCCCAACCCTGGTGGTTTCAAACAACACAGTGGGCGTGAGTGCATGTGCCCCAAATCCTGACAGGATGGAGAAGTGGGGAAGCAGCCATCGTGGCGTGACTGTTCCTCACCAGGGGACTCACTCTCACTCTCTCTCTCTCTCTCTCTTTCTGTGAACACCCATGCCCTCTGGCAATTAAAAACAAAAACAAAATTCTTTAAGAATTATTTTATTTAACTTTATTTATTTATTTAAATTTGACCAGAGAGGGACAGAGTAAGAAAGTGAGAAAGCAAGCTGCCGGGTCCAGGACCTGAACCATGGTCAACCAGGTGGGAGTCCATTGCCCTTGACCGCAATGCCACCTGCCAGCCCCAGTACAAAAAAATGTTTTTGAAACCATGCATAGTTTTGCATACTACACATTTTCCTTGAACTCTTTGAAGACTCCTTCTATTTAACTTTTTTTTGTATATAACTTTTTAAAAATAATTTTTATTTTATTTTATTTATTTATTTAAATTTGACCAGAGAGGGACAAAGTGAGAGAGAGCAAAAGAGATGGAAAGTGAGCAAACAAGCCACCAAATCCAGGACTCAAACCGTGGTTCACCACGTGGGAATCCAGCACCTTAACCACCATGGCACCTGCTGGCCCTAATAATTATTTATTTAATTGCATTTGTTATTGCTTTTAATTTGACAGAGACAGAGAAAGGGAAAGGGAGAAAGCAAGCTGCCAGATCCGGACTCGAACCACGATCAGCCATGGGGGAATCCAGTGCCTTTAACTACCACACCACCTGCTGGCCCTGTCTGTAACTTTCTGAGGAGCTGTCAGCCTGTTTTCCACAGTAGTCATACCATTTACAGCCCCTTCAGCAGTTCTATGAGGGTTCCAGTTTCTCCACATCTTTTTTCTTTTTTTCTTTTTTGGGAAAGGTTTTTGCTATAGGGCGTGTGCTACCCGGAAAGACAGAGAGAGACAGAGAGACAGAAAGCGAGAAATCATCCCCCGGGGGATGATCACGCCGCAATTCCTTCTCCTCCATTCTCCTCTCGGGATCATGAGCACACACACGCACACACACACAGCGTGAGTTTAAGCCACCGGGTCCAGGACTTGAACCGCAATCGACTACGTGGGAGTCCAGCCACGTAGCCATTACGCCAGCTGCTGGTCCCGCAGTTGCTCCATATCTTTCCCAATACTTTTTATTATGTCTTTATAATTACAGCTACCCTTGTGGCCACGAAGCAGTGTCTCGTGAGGTGTTTTGTTGTTGTTGTTGTTTTTTAATCTTTTTTTTTCTTTTTTTTTTTTCATGAGTGAGACAGACAGACCCTTAGCAAGGTCTTACATGCCATGATCCTGCCGCAGCCTCCTAACAGCCAGGCAGGATCCCAGGTGTGAGAGTACCCTCGGTGTGTTCAGGTCCCTGTGGGATTCGAACACGGGCTTCCCGTGTGGCTCCAGTGTCCCGCGGCAGCACTGTGCCACCTGCGCACCACAGCCGGGCCTCATGCTTGTCCTGACTTGCATATTTCTGATGGCTAATGCGTAATCCTTTCTTAAAACATTTTTTAATAAGAAATACACTTATTTTCCTGTGTCCTTCTTTACTCCTATATGAAACAAGTAGAGAGAAACTCACATCCAGTCCTAGCCTCTGAGCGTGCCCTGGGGTTGTCGTCCCACGGGTGGGTGGCCTGCGTGACTCCTAGGAGCACCCAGAGGAAGAAGCGAACACCTCCGATCTCTCTAACAGTCTCCAAGTTGACAGAAGGCCTAGACAGTGCGAATGTGAAAGTGAACGGTGAAATGAGGTTGGGGTTCGCCGTGGAGCTATTTGCTCATGCTTTCTCTGGATACCGTGAGAGTTGGTGTACACTTGTGCTCCCCACAAGGTCATGGGCTGTCTCAGCCTGGGCTCACAGAGGAACCCAGAGGCTCCACAGACACAGGGCCATGGTGGGAGCGAGGGCCAGGCTCCAGCCTGCACCTGTCCCCAGGACTTACCAGGTGCTTGGTTTTCTAAGATAGTAGAGCTGACTCGTGAGTAGGGCAGAATGCCCCAAACAATCGTCTTATGAGTGGTTCAGGATTAATAAGGAAGAAGGGGGCCAGCCAGGGGTGCAGGCCGTCCCATGAAGTGCTGCGGCCACAGGGCCGGCCGCAGGTTCTGTCCTCCAGTCAACCCGAGACGCACCAACCAGGTCTACGACCCTGATGAACCAGAGGGCGGGGGACCGGGCTCGTGGCATGACGAGACCCCCACATGCGTGCCTCTGTCCCTGGCTCTCATGCACATGTGTTCTCTGTCAGGAACAAAACAAACTGCATAAGATGTCAAGATGGGGTCCACTGGAGAGGTGCAGAGGGGACCTGCGTTCAGACACACTGGCTGTGGCCGGGCTCCGGCTGGGGCCTGCTCAGCGCGCGGTCAGTGACCATCTTCCTTCTCTGCCTCTGCCCTGCAGGTACCAGTCCCTCAATCTAACCCACGTTCCTGAACACAGCGCACCCATCTATGAGTTCCGGTGACAGCGGTCCCCGACAGCAACCAAATAAAACTGAACTTGGCAAAAAAGAGCTTTGCCAAGAAAATTGTGTACCTGCCAGACCCAGGAGAAGCGTGTTCCTGTGTCGTCTCCAGCAGACTCGCAGCAGAGAGCGCGAATGTCCCGCCGCAGAGTCCAGAGCTGCCAGTCGGCGGCAGGTGGAGGGAGCGGCCTGCCTTTCCTCCCTCTCTGCAGAAACGTGGACCCCAGCTGTCTCTAAGCTACCTTAACGCACTTTCCCTTCCCGCACCACCGCGCCACTGCGCCCGCATCACCGCGTCGTCCACCTCGCCTCCGTCCTGCCCACAGCCGATGGAAGGCCGGCTCCCAGGTCACCCTCAGCCTTGGTGCTCAGCGGGCCCCGCCCAGGCTCCAGATGCCCTTCTGTGCCCCGGTCGCTTAGTCTGGTAGCTCAAGAGAAGGCAGACCCCCAGCTCCCGTGTCCCTTGGAGCTCCGGGTTGGGAGTTGGCGAGCTATACTTCTGCCGCCAAGGAAGTGAGAGGCTGAGGCCGAGCCAGCCCAGCGGGGCCTCAGCAGCCCCAGTGCCCACTGCGTGGTGGGGCGAGTGGGCGCAGCTTCGCTTGCTCAGTACGGGCCTGCCGTGGGGGTTGCTGCACGGAAGGCTTCCAGATTCCAGCCCTGCTTACTCAGTACGTTTGCTCCACACTTTTGAACTTGAGGGAATTACTAAACTTTAAAAAATAAGAGTTTTTTTATTACAAAATTATTTTTATGGTCCCTTTAACGAGGACCCTACGGCAAATGCACAATTATTCAGAATTACATTGTAACGTTTTCACATTGAAAACAGCAAATGTTGACTTAATAATTTTTATATCTATATCTATATGTATATGTATATTTAATCAACCAGCAGTTTTGAGACGAGTCATCCTGGTACAAAAGTTCTGCGCATTGCGTAATCGCAGTGCTAGACGCGAGGGCCGTTTCGGGGGCCAGTTCAGCATTTGCACCTCTTCCTTGTGCTCCTCAAACAACTGCTTCGTGGCGACCTTTTTCGTGAGGCAGGAGGGGCCATCGTCCTGAAAACGGACCGACGTGCTGGGGCCGGGGAGGGGCCCGTGAACACGCTCAGATAACGAGGCTCACGTGCCAAAGCGTGTGTGTGTGTGTGTGTGTGTGTGTGTGTGTGTTTCTATTTTTGTTCTTTTAATGTTTAAAACGCTTAATAGGTTGGCATCAGTTGCAGCCCACAAATCCGGGCCAGTCTTTGGGGAGTTGGCACCCTCTGGTGGTCTGTAGGCTTACCCAGAATCCGAGAGGAAGAGCTTTGAAACCGGGCGGCATCCAAGGAGCAGAGCGCCGAGCCTCCGGTGAGAGCAGAGCGGTGGTGAGCTAGCTCGTGCGTGAGCGACTCCCGCCTAGCGGCCTACGTCTGCCTGTCACTGTGGCCGAGTGTTAGGGAGAGCACAAAGGAGGGGTGTTCGGAGGCATGCCAGTGGGCACTTGGAGTATCTAACACTCATAGAGGCCAGGGCCTGGGACACTAAACCCGGGGACAGCAGTGCACGTTTGTTTCCAGGGGCAAGTCAGAGCTCCGCTCTCCCATCTCGAGGCTCAGCTAGACACCAGGATGGCTACCTCTGCTCCAACTCGGCCGCTTTTCCACCCAGAGGAGGCCCTCCCTGTCCCTTCAGTTGAGCCGAGGGACGTCACCACTCTGGCCACTTTTGCAGCCCATTGGCCTCGCCTCAGTCCTCCCACGGGTGCAAGGCTTCTCCAGGGATGCGGTCGCACTCGGGGCATGGAGAGGGCCGGTCATTCCTGGAGCCCGTAGGGGAGCGGGCTGAGGGGACTGTAAACGCCATGGAGCACCGCGTCTCCTGTGTTCTCACTCCTGAACACGTTAGAGTGGTGCGTTGTGCCGGTTGTCCCGGGAGAGTGGAAGAGCGATGCCTTCAGGCCCACTGACTGCACGCGTGCTAAGAGGGCGGGGGGATTGAGTGCTTGCCACCTCGTGACTCCCAGGGTGAGCAGCAACCTTCCTCTTCTCTGTTCCTGGAGCTGGGCACCCTCTCCACCCGCACCCCGCCTCTCCTGGACCTCCCGTGGTCTCCACGCCTCTGACGCTATGTGCAATACGTGGGGCCAACGCTCGTCCCCACCCTTGGGTTAGTGCAGGTGACAGGTTCCCGCTGTCTTCCTCCCCCAACGAGCCTGCCGGGAGGCAGACCCCAGGGAGGTGGCTGCTTCTACTGCTCCGAGAGCGGCCCCCCAGCCTCGCCCTCCCTCGCACGTGCTGACTCACCTCTCCCACCCACCCTTCTACAGTTTGTTCAGCACCCCAGCTGCAGTCCGAACGCACCCGCCATGCCCAGGGCCTAGGGACGTCGCCTGTGTGCTGGTCTCATTGGCTTAAAGTGGGAGTCACAAACTCCAGAGGAGCAGAGAGGTTCCTCGATGTCTTTTGCTTTCAGACACAGGGAATTTACATTCTCTTTAAGGCCTTGAATTGATTTTTGTTTTCCTCATAAAAATAGTCCGATAAGCTAATTTTTTAAAAAATGCCATTAAGTATGTTGCATTGTGGTTTAAAATTACTAACGAGTTCTGGAAGAGAAAACTATTTGATTTTGAATCTTAAATGTTTTTAAAAATTAGATTTGAATGGGCGCCAAGTATGAGTATTTTGTTTCATTGTGGAGGACGTGTGGAGAGGGTTTAAGGGTTGGGAGGGGATAGGAGAAGTATTTTGCAGAGCTATCAATGTCCAAATAATTTTTAAAAAATAATAAAGGTATTTAAGCAGTGAGTTTGTCCTATTTCTTTTTTTTTTAAAGAATTATTTATCTTATTCATTCATTTATTCTTTTTTAAATTTGACCAGAGAGGTACACAGAGAGAGAGAGAAAGAGGGAAAGTGAGAAAGCAAGCCACCCAGGACTCGAACCGTGGTCAGCCATGTGGGAGTGTCCAGTGCCTTAACCACCACACCACCTGCTAGTCCCGAGTTTGTCCTATTTCTAAAAACTTAGAAGAAGCCAGTCCTTTCTGACCCCATGACCATGGAACTGCCTGGGCCAGCAGGGACCTCTGTGTCCGGGCAGGCTGAGGCCCTCTGGGACCTGTCACCCTGTCCCATCATGCCCGCCTTTTCCTGCTGGACACGTTCAGCCACTCACCATTTTTCTCTGAGCTTCATTTTGTTCATTTCCATGTTTCTGCAGAAACACGGGGGCATTTCTGTCTTGCATGTGTGCGGGTTTATGCTTTTGAACACAGGAAGTTGGCAGAGGGAGCTGTCCGTTTTGCAGCCTGGTGTCGGGACAGGCGATTCAGCCGGGAACATCTGTGGGCTGCCCCCACCACTGCAGCTGTGGTCCCCAGCGGAGATGCTGCCTGCACCCCCCGCCCTCCCCAAAGCGCTTCTGAGGGCCGGACGGCAGTTAGCACTGAGCTCCGGCCCTGGACTGCTCTGCTCCTGTGCTGCAGGCCCCTCCTCCCTGGGCAGCCCAGCAACCGGGCTGGAAACAGCATTTGCATTTCTGAGGAAATGTTCAGAATACTTCAATGATTTTTTGAAAATTCTTTTTAGAGGGATTTTTGCTACAGGCCACGAGCACTCACCAGAGAGATGGAGCGAGACGGAGAGAAAGAAACCCCCCTCCCCCCGGGGGGATGGCCACGCCACAATCTCATCTCCTCCATTCTCTCTCGGGATTTTGGGCAGGCACACACATGTCCCTGGTGTGATTTTCAAGCCAACAGGTCCAGGACTTGAACTGAGATCAGCTGTATTGGAGTCCAGCGCCTTACCCACCATGCTACTTGCTGACCTGGTCCCAGATGTTTAAGCTTTCGTTTGCTCTGTTGGGAGTCATCGACAGGAACACTAGGCAGGACGGAACTGTGCAGATGTTCAGTGTGAACCCAACTACAACATGGGAAAGGGGAAATGATAGCGTGGGCGCCGTCCCTGCTGGTCCGCACTGCACCTGAGAAGGACATCGACCCTGCTCCGTAGCCAGGGCCCGACGGTGGGGCAGCAGTAAAACGTGACCGTGAGGCTGACCCACGTGGGAGGGTTCAGGGTTCGCGGCTGGAGACCTCTCTGTGTGCCCAGGACCTGGGGCTGGCTGGGAATGTGGGTGGGTCTGGTGTCAAGACCCTCCCAAGGTATCTCTTCTCTCTCCTCTTTTTCTCCGTCCCATCCATGGGACAAATCATCTTTTTAAAAAGTGCTCAGTAATGAAATAGGCAGCTGGCTTCAATTTTAAAAAGAAAAAGGTACCTAAAAATTGGATTGCAGCTGAGCAGCTTTTCTCTCCAGATTTTTCTTCCGAAGCATCTAAGGAGTGAAACGCCCTATTTGTGCATTGCAGGGAAGCCACGTAAGGCTTTTCATTTGTAGAGAGTGTATGCCGAGTTCAGGTTTATTTTTGCCGTTTCTCCGCTTGCGTCATTTTTCAGTGCACTTGTCACCCCGTCTCCATCATTGCTCCGCGGTCCCTCTGTCCCCACGCCTTCTCAGCCTCGGCTCTGTGTAGGGCCGCCTGGAGGCCCAGAGTCCTGCCCGGCAGCTCCCCGTCCAGTGCCCTCATGACCTGCTGGTGTCCTGAGGCCCCAGCGGACGCCACGTACGGGGAGGTGTGGGAGTAACTGGCAAGCCTCCCCACTGAGAGAGCAGCTCTGAGGCTGTGATGGTGGTGGGCTGCCTGGCGTGGGCAGAGGCCATGCAAATTCTCAGTGGTGCGAGCTCAGCCTGGTGGTCTTATGTGACCAGAGCCAGTGGGAACCTCCACCCCACCTACTGGGTCGTCGACAAAATAATGATGCATTTTTGCATAGAAAAATAGACAAATACATCGCGAGTTTGCTGACGAATCAAGAATCTCAAGCCCTTGGCAAATGAAAAGAAGGAACGAGAACCAGCAGGTCGCATACCAGTGGTTAAGGCACTGGACTTCCATGCGGCCAACTGCGGTTCGAGTCCTAGACCTGGTACCTGGAAATACACGGCAGGTGTGTGTGCATGAGTGCTCCAAATCCAGGAGAATGGAGGAAGAGGGATATACTAGACCAAACCCCCTAGGAGTGATTTCTCACTTTTCCTCTCACTATCTGTGTCCCTCCAACGAGCGTGCACGCCCTGTGGTAAAAACCTTTAAAAAAAGCACCATCTTACGTCGGCGCCTGCCCTCATGAGGGCTTCGTTCCTTCACAAACATATCTACAGACTTGCTGCGCTCACTGTCGTCCTGTGTGCTGGGGACACGGTGAACAGCCCCTGAGAGCCCGAGATAGGCTCAACTGGGGAAGACAGACCAAGGCGTGGCAAAGGCGTTACTTCGTGGTAGACGCGCTGTTAAGTGAGAGGCCGGCAGGAAGCGGAGGTGGCAGAGGATCGGGCCAGGGTGCGGACTGTGATTCCTAAAAGGACAATCAGGGCCTCACCAAGCAGGCGACACGTGGCAATGGCCTGGAGGAGACGGAGTGAGCCAAGCGCAAGGGCAGGGGTGATTCCCGGCAGAAGGGACAGCTAGTGCGAAGGTCCTGAGGCGTGATCAGCCGTGTTAGAGGAACAGAGAGGAGGTGAGTGGTGGAGGTGTGGGCAGAGGTGACAGTGCGTGTGTCGGAGCCCACAGGACTTGGCTGGTGGTTGTCAGGGTAAGGAATGACACTGATGGAACCCAGTAGAGCATTGGCAGAGGAGCGACTTGCTCTGATTCAGGTTTCGAAGGCTCCTGCTGACTGCGGGCTCGTGGACAGACTATATGAGGGGGTAGGGGGGCAAGCAGGGAGACCATGAGGAAGCTGGGGAGGTGGGGTGACAGCAGAGATGGGGGACAGTGTCTGGCGTCAGCGTATGTTTGAAGGTGGACCAAGAGGGTTGCTGACAGGCTCTGATGTGAGCAGTCAGGGTTGCTGACAGGCTCTGATGTGAGCAGTCGGGGAGACCGAGGCTGGGCCGCAGTGTTGGTTTGGGTCTCCCTGGTGCCCACAGGACTGTAACCTCTCACGTGGGGAGGCCAATGCCACTGAGATTTACTACTTAACAGGGACAGCCGGCCAGTGGTGTGGTGAAGGCTGCTGGGCCCCACACAGCCGACTGCGGGGGTTGGGTCCTAGACCCAGTGGCTTGGAAAACACGCTGGGTGTGTGCATGCCCCAAATTCTGAATGGAAGGAAAAGTGGAGGAGAGGGGTTTGCAGCGTGACCACCCCCATGGTGGAGCATGGGGAGGTGCTCTCACTCGCTGACTCCCTCCAGGAAGCACACACACTCTCTGGCAAGCAGACTCAAACAGAGCGTACACCAGCTGCTAAGAAGATGCACCTTTAACTCACGGGGCTACCCTGGACAAGCATTTCTCTGTCACTCGCTTCAAGTCCAGTTGGCTGGAGTGGTGGGAGCTTGGCTGACGAAGGCTCTGCCATCTATTTTTTTAATTATTATTATTATTATTTAATTTGCTATAGGGCATAAGGGCTCACCAGAGAGAGACAGAGACAGAGACACAGAGAAAATTAGAAAGCAAGCCTCCAGGTCCAGGACTTGAACCAGGGTTGGCCATGTGGGAATCCAGTGCCCCAACCACACACCACCTGCTGGCCCCCCTGACATCTATTTTTAAGTTAATTTACTCATCCCATGAGACAGCACCAACAGGGTCCCGACCCACCCCCAGCTTCAGCCAGCCCTGGATCATGGGTGGCTGGGCTCCTCTGACAGGTCTCCAGCCTTGAACCGGGAACCTTCCCGCATGGAACGGCCTCACAGAGCACGCTTTACCACAGGCCACTGTCTGGCTCCAGCTCTGCCATCTGTAAACTGTGCCTTCTACCGTCACCCTGGGCTTGAGGGGACAAGATGGGAGGTTTGTTCTTCCTTCTCTTTTTTTCCTTCTTTTTTAAAAGTTTATCTGTTTTTAGAGAGACACAGGCAGGGGTCCCCCCCAGGCTGTGACCCAGTCCCCATAGCCTGGATCTGGGCATGTGTGGGGCCCCCCAGCTTGTTCCAGAAGGTCTCTGGACCTGAACTGAGGACTTTTCCCTTGCGGATCCAGCGGCACCCCCTCCTGGCCCAGCTGGAAGGTTTCTGTGGGCCAGTCTGGAAGGGCGACATGGCTTCTGGCCATTCCCGTGGCTGCATCCAACAAAGGGGGCTGGAGACTGGGGCCTCGCTACTTCCTGCAGCCACAAGGAGAGGGACAGAGGTCTGGTGAATGGTGTCGGTCTCTGGGGGGCAAAGCTGCAGACAGGCCTGAGGACCGGGGCGCAGGCGTTCTGCCCTGCACATGTGAAGCCTGAGAAACACACATGTGACCTGGAAGGAGGGGTTGGTGTAGGCCTTCGGGGGAAATTCATGAGACAGGTCTGGACTGGAGGTAAAACTGGGGTCTGTCAGCTTCTAGATGGGGTATTTAAACCACAAGCCGAGGTGAGGTCCCCGTGTCAGCAGGTGGCACAGGGTTAAGAGGCCGGATCCCACATGGCTTGCTCCGCAGTTCCAGTTGCAGACCCAGAGGCTTGAAAGTCATGCCAGGTGCATGCACATGCATGCCCAGAATCCCAGGAGGAGAATGGAGATGAAGGGATTGTAGCATGGCCATCCCCCCAGGGAGTGAGGCCTCACTCCTCCTCTCTGTCTGTCTCTGGCGTGCTTTATGGCGAAAATCTAAAAAAAAAATAATAATCATGAAGAGCAAGGGTTGCTAGAGGGGGACCAGGAACCAAGCTTTGAGGCCCTCCAGTGTTCACAGCTCACGGACAAGAGGAGGAAGCAGCAAAGGACACAGAAGGAACAGCCCAC